TTGACCTACAATAATGTACATAAAAATCTATAAATACGTGTTGATTTTCCTTAATAAACGATCTGTTGCCTGGCCCTTGTCTTCTGTTGTTACAGTAGGACCTGCAGGAACAATAGTTCCAGTCAGTGTAGCTTGCTGGGTCATTGCGATGTGCAGGCCCGACCACCACGTCAAGGTAGCAGCTATCGGGGAAAAGAATTAGTGGATGAAGAACAATGAGGGTTTATTGGACCACAACGAATGAATTCATCTGCACCATTGAGAACGAGTTTGGATTATATATCAAACCACACTTTATTAGCCTCTAGACGACGCCACTCAATCATATAGTCTGACCTCCCTACGTTGCTCAAAATAACATTCGAAGACTTCACAGATTGATGCCAGGTTTTGGTTTGGCCACCTTTAACCATGAGGGTGTCGTTCTCTTTACATGTTTGGTCTGACAGGAAGCACCCACAGAGAGAATATGTCCCCTCCTGAGATTTACACTTCCTATGATCAAATCGCTTCAGTATAAAGTTGTTAGTTGGCTTGCAGAGACACCAGTTGTGTGTACCATGAAAGATTCATTACTATTTCGCCGAAAGCTTGAACCATATGAACGTTTCCAAAAAGTTCATGGTGTCATTTGATGCAACACCTCCCTGTTCACAAGGATCTCAATCGATGGAACTATCGACATCATTTGTCAGCATACGGATCTTCTCCTACTCCCAGTGTCAGAGTTTAAACACCTACTGCTAATGTCTACAATGCAGGTACAATTCCATTTTGACAACACTGTTCACTGTCAAAAGAGATAGTGTAACCATGAACAGTCTACTAGCCTTGTTTTAAAAGACACCTTCATATCTAACCTTGCGAGGACAAAAGTGAAGCCGGAAATCGAGGAAACAACTTCTTCTTGTCAATATATCCACGATACATTTGTGATATGAAGCAGTGAAAAACATGCTTCCTACCTACTCGGATCATTCAACGACGCACATACAAACAGTGAATTCACTAGACGACAAGATAGCGATAGAAAGCTTCATTTCCTTGACCTTGCCAATCACCGCTTGAAAGATGGTAGTCTCCATTGATCAATTCGTCGAAAGTCAACATGAAACGTACAATACTTACATTTCCATAGTTTTTTTTTGATTATATAGCTATGAACAAGCACTGGTCAAAAGTTTTTTTCAATAGAGTCAGGAGAATACTCTCTCCACAGACAAATTACACGAAGAACTTATGGTTCTCAGAAGATATTGAGAAAGAACAGTTACTCTCAGAAATTCAACAACAAGTATGGTAGACGCGAAGGCTGTAATGTCAAACAAATTACAGTGGGAAAAAAGGCCAATCTTCATTCAATTCGACTTGAAAGGTGATAATATTGTAGGAGTAGTCAACAGAAGATTGAATGCGTCACTGGCCAGAACGTATTCCTGTTTATCGGACAGCATGCTCTTGGTACAATCAAAGTTCGACAGATACCCTTCTCATGTCAACTCTATCTGTGTATACAAATTTACATGCATGTGAGATAGTAAGTACATTGAGAGAACAAAAACAAGGGCACACTTTCTATTTCCTCAACCTGCACCAAAAACTCTCTGTCTCAAGGTAACAAATGTTTACAATAGTGTCAGACATCTCATCCATACGGGTCATGAAGTATGGACATCATGGAATCCTTGAAAATTACCAATAGACAAAATAGTTCAGTTTTCCCCATATTTACCGAAGCAATCGCTATCAAGCGCCTGAAACCCGATTTATGTGTTCAGATGGGGAGCAGTTGCCAGTATTTCCTTGCCCTGGTAACTGGATGGATTCTTTACTTTCTCTTTCATTTAGGTAAGTAATCTTAAGTTTCCAACCTCCCCCCCCCTTAGCTATACAGTAGCTTAGCTTGTCTCTCGTTGCTATGATATAAGTTGAATTCACTACATTGTTACTCAATTTATTAGTCACTCATCATCTTATCCATTTCTTGTACTTATTGAGGAACTCCTTTCTAATTGTATCCAAGAATTTATTTTTGCTTAAACTTGAACCCCAGCCCCCCACCCTTGTAAAAACTATGTAGTTGTAATTTCTGAGCACTGTTGATTGAGTTTAGAGCCTCGTGTCAACTGACATTACGTAACATTTTCAAGTATGTTAAAATTGTTTCTGTACACAAACTAAATTGGTTTCTTTAGGCTGTATACAGCTGATGAGAAACCAACGAAGTAGACAATGATGGTACCATCTTATTCTGAATAAACTATTGTTCCTGCTTTATTGAAATTCCTGAAGCAGAATGAGTGTCCGAAGTATCCTGATAAATCATAAACAAAGTATATCAGAACACACACGTGGTCCGGTTTCGATTCCAACCCAATGTGCACTCGTAAACATCGCTTAGCCGGTAGTAACTTCGGTAAAGAGGGAAGGTTCGGTGTGAGGCTAGCAAACCCCCTTCTCAACGTCGTGAAGACAAAACACCGATACAGAAACCTCAAAACATAAGCACTACTGGTTACAGGATTTCATCATGAGCTCACGTTGGTTAGACAACCATTGGAAAACCTGCAAGGAGTACTAAACGGCTGTTTCGTCCTAATTTGGAACTCTTCAGGAGTACGCACCCACCACCAGGGTTCGAACCCAGGACCTTCTGGTTACAAGGCGAGCTGGCTCGTAGACCATTAAGCCACTAGGACCCGATCCAATGGCCAGTCCATAAATTCTAACTTCTGCCAATTCACGACATAGCGCAACCCCTAGCCAATGTCTTCGGCGAGTATTTGTCCTCACACCAGACCTGCTGCACCCTACTGGTCACGACTTCTCACTAGAACCCCAGGTAACTACCTACCTGAATAGGGCGAGTCGCTAGTGAGAATCTCACTGATATTCAAGTGTCGGTTTGTAGGGATTTGATTGATTGGTTACAGGATTTCATCATGAGCTGATATAAGGACTATGTTCCACTCGGAATGCAAAGGGATATATATGTATATATATCTTCAGCCATCTCTCTATGAGATATAAACGGTCGGAGTTAAACGCATTAACCCATATGTGACAAATAACTGTGAAAACCCATTTGGTGTGAAGCGAAGTTGATATCAGATGGGAATCATATAATCAGTTTACCATGTCACACCTTCTAATCATACAGTTGAATGAATCTAAAACCATTTTTTTTAAAATTTCATATGACATTATATTTTTAACAAATGTAATCATTTAACATACGCGACGTATATTCCAGCGCAACAGACTTGATATACTTCATCTATTTTAACAGGGTTAATCATACCGCACCACTGAGCATGCTATAGTGAGTGAGTGAGTGAGTAGACAAAAAATCCAGCCTTGTTTCACCACAATTGGAGAGAGAAACAGAGTCCAGTGGAAATAATATTGAGCCGAAACATTATACAGAGGAGACAATAATATATGATTTTCAATGTATTATTGTATTATTATTATTATTATTATTATTATGTCCTTTAGTTCCAAGAGGAACGTAGGGCTTCAGCAGCACGTCTCCATTGCATTCAATTCTCCGCCGACGTTTTCACCTGGCTCCAAGTCTGCCAACATGCTTCCATCTCCTCTTCACATAACCTCCTCCTCCATGTCACCCTCGCATCAACGACCAACTCACCGCTTCCCATTCAGGTTCCACTCGAGCGATGGCCTGGCGTTTGATGTCACTCACTTGATGGTTTTTTTTCTAAGAGTATAGCCAAACCAGCTCCATTTCTTCCTGCAGATTTGTTGCACAATTGGTTCCTGCTGGGTTGATTCTATCCCAGAGACTCCTCCCTGTTGCTGATCTCTTCTGGCCGACCATCTGATCTTCAGTAGTATTGAGCAAAGACAGCTGTTGATGAAGGTCTGTAGTTTGTTCGAAGTGCTCTTCCTGGTCCGTATAGTAGCACTGACTGACTTCACATTGGAGTTGAAAATTCGGATCTTATTTTTCATACTGAGTGCTGTTGACCACCAGACCGGCTTGACAGTAATGAAAGCTTGCCTTGCTTTCCCGATGCTCGCCGCTTTGATATCCTCGTCAGTTCCGTCCGTCTGTAGTTGAAACGATGCTTCCCACGTAGTTAGTTGGGTAGATAAAGGAGGTTGCTTCTTTCAGATTGCTCCCATTTATGCTGATTGTTGTCTGTTGTTGGGATGTTAGCCAGGAATCCTCACCACCTCTGTTTTCTCTATGTTCACCTGAAGGCCTATCTTTGATGGTTCTTCTACCGCCAACTTTTTGCTTTTCACTTGCATGTGATTTGTGATTTTTAATGTATTTACCGATTATCTGATGTGAAAGGACCTACCTTTTTGTGTTCTGTCATTGTTATTCCTTGAAGGATAGTCGCCTTTGTATTGTTATCCTTATGTTTATTATTGTATTATTTCTTCTATATTTTAGAAATCGATAAAGTCAGCTGACTTTTAACTATAGTCAGGCCTAGAACTCTGCATCGTCAGTACTTGATAGTGAGGACAAAATTATCTGTAGGCAAATTTAATCCTACACATCCGTTGATCGATAGCTAAATATCATGCCTACACCAGAGATAGAGTAAGTTAGAAAATGCCACATCAGAATTTTTTTTATTACAGCTTGATTCCACACAGTATTTTCGTACAAGTATGAAATTTTCAGCATGTGATATCGGTAGCCCAAATTTAGCAGGCCGATCAGGTGTGCGTCGGCGGGGGATCGAACCTCGGACCATGTGCATGGTCGGCGACAGTACTAACCACTGTGCCACCGACGGACAGGAGGCACGCTTCTCGTGAGAAGCGATGGATGATAATACGTGTAGGTAAATGGAACTGATTTCCAGACAATGTATGAGTGACTGATAGTTAAGCTGAACGTTTGTCACTCTCTTTCTCTCTCTCTCATGAACAACAAACACCGTCGATTAAAGCAACAACAAATAATCAACACTATAAAAGTAGGCCAAAAAAGAAAAAAATATCAAACAAATACTTACATCTTCATGAGTTGAAAATCCTCGACACAGCAGGGATGTATGATAACCAGATAGACCGAATACAGTCCACATTGCCGAGAAAGATATCAATATCTCAATTATTGTTTGACCAATAAGAAATAAGACAAAATTATTTAATTTTTATTTATTTATTTATTTTTTTTTTGGAAATTGGATTTATTCAACATCCCATGATTAAATGATGATGATTATATAGCGAGAAAAAATTAGTTAAGGTGTTTAATAGGCCATTTCAGTGAATAATATAAAAATTTATATATGCATGAATAAAAAAGTCCACGATTACAAATTACAAAAACGATTAAGTGTACAACCACTAGTGTGAAATTACTACTTACTAAACATCCTATTTCATTATGGATAAGACCACGTTTCGAGCACAAATTATTGTCACTCATAATCATATCAAGGCACTATTCAGGCAACTTGCTTGCTTCATTGATACATACAGGAGTAAAAATTAATGATTACACATTTGAATAAAATCAATATAAGATAAAGTACATTCGGAAATAGTAAGTGTTATCAATACTATTAATGATAACACAAATAAGAGAGAATATAAGACATCCACAGTTCTACCGTATAATGAGGGGACATCTGAAACCCTTGCTATGTAGGACTTTCAATAAAGCAGCAATTAGGGTGACATTCAAACCCTCCTACCAACTCACTCAGATAGGATAAGCTTGGTAAGCTAAACGATTGTGTAGGTTGACTCAATCAAACAATGTAATATAATTTACAAAATACCTTGCAGTGACTGTGAGTGAGATCAACTACATAGGTCAAACTAGTAGTGGATGAGGAGTAGTGAGATTATCACAACATAAGAATTTAGTGGCTAAAGTTAGAATGATTGACCCTGAGAAGATAGGTAATGTAGAAAAAAGCTCAGCAATCGCACAGAATGCATTAACACACAACCACACAATAGGGTGGGTGAGAAAGAGTCGAAATTCTAAAAAGTAATATTGGTAGGTGGAGATAGAGAGAGAGAGAGAGAGTTTACTGAATCCTGCCTGGTTCATCGAGTCGACCCACCCAACACATGCAATAGAAGTGACTCAAACCAAATACTAGAGATATGGATGATATTATTACTAGTCAAATCAGAGGATAATAAATAATCTCAAAATTCTATTTCAATTCACAGTATAACATTCTAACAAGTTACTTATTTACTTTACTATAAAAAATATCTTATTTCCCATCTGATTTTATTTGATTGATAACACCTACTATTTCCGAATGTACTTTATCTCATATTGATTTTATTCAAATGTGTAATCATTAATTTTTGCTCATGTATATAAATGAAGCAAGAAAGTTATGTGAGTAGTGCCTTGATATGATTGTGAGTGACAATAATTTGTGCTCGAAACGTGGTCGCATCAGTGAATATTACTGTGTAACACTACGTGCGTGATTTTATCAAAATAAAATTTTATCCCTAATGGAGTTCTTCTCTCTACCATAGTGCCCAAGTTTTATCCTTATATCAATAAACATCTATTTATTTTCAAGTATTGGTTTTGTAGGGATTTTGTTTGATTGGATGGAGGATTTCATCATGAGCTGACATCGGTTAGAGAACCATTGGATCGGGTCCCAGTGGCTCAATGGTCTACGAGCTCACTAGTCTTGTAACCAGAAGGTCCTAGGTTCTGTTCTGATGAAGAGTCCCAAACTAGTTGGACGAAACAGCTGTCCAATACTCTCTGCAGGTTTTCTAGTGGTTCTCTAACTGATGTCACCTCAAAATGAAATCCTCCATTCAATCTATTTAATTTTTTTCATAGATAACAACTATTCAGATAACGGATTTTGTTTATCTAATAGCCGAAAAACAAAAGGTGGTAAGATTGATCGCGAACAGAAATCAGTTAGAGAACCACTGAAAACCAACAGGAAGTATAATGAACAGCTTTTTCGTCCTAGTCTGCAATTCTTCAACAGTAGCTGACCCCCCCCCCCTGCCTAGAATTCAAAACCCAGGACAACTAGGTTACAAGGCGAGCTTATAGAACATTCAGTCAATGTGACTCAATCTAATGTCCTATGGATTCTAACTTTCTACCAGTTGGTGATTTCAGTGCGACCACGAGCCAACGCCACCGGCGATACGGTGGGGTCTACTGGTCACGGCTTCTCAATAGAACTCAAGCTTACCTCGTAGCAGGAAGGTCCTGAATTCGAACTCTGGATGGTGTGTGTATATACTGCCGGAAAGTCCCAAATTAGTACAAAACAACTGTCCAGTACTCCCTACTGGTTTTCCAATAGTTCTCTAATTGATATCAGCTCGTCAATTAACTTGAAACAAATAAGAATCCCTGCAAACTAGCTACTCTTGAAAACAATTGATGAGTTCTACAATTCTCAAAATATATCGAAACTTACAATACTTGATAAGCATAGTATAACAAGTTGAGAGCATCCAGGAAATTCATAGACATTTCTGTTCGGTTAGTGAAATTCGGGTGGTTCCAACTAATTTAGCTCTCTCTTCCTCTCAGTTGAATCTCTCACCTGGTACACCACTGACAAACTCAGCCGGAAACGAAGAAAACAAGTGTTCTACGTTTAGGTCACACATTGATCTGTCTGATAAGCACAAACTATTTAATGTGAGTGCTTTTCATCTACTTATATCAATGAGTAGTACATATAGCGGAATGGAATCATGTTTGTATTCATAATTATCATTTTGTGCTTCCAAAGGAAAGTGCGGTGAATATATACTGTATTAGATGGTTGGAGGCAATCGGCCACAGGAAGCCCTGGACCTAGGTTTCGTGCTAGTTGGCACTCATCAGCAAGGCGTATCTGCAACCTTGAAGGAACTCATGTCCCTTCTGAGATTCGAACCCACGTCACCCAGTGCTGTAGTCAGAGACGTTGCCACTGAGCTATTCAGGTTCGCGACTGACCTACTGTAGGACTGTATTGGATATTTTTGATTGTACACTAGCCAGTAACTAGTTTAATGTGTCTAGTCCTATCTTCGGTGCAGACTGAATTCTATCAGTCATGCTTGCAATGTGGCCACCATGCTAGGTGGCTCAACATTACGGTGCACTATGAATTGTTGGTATTAGAATTCAGTCTGCACCGAAGATAGGACTAGACACATTAAACTAGTTACTGACTAGTGTGCAATCAAGAATATATACTGTGAATATCATCCCACTTCTTATCTTACTATGCAAACTGAACACTTACCGACCTACATATTTCTCTTCATACTCTGATTGGACACTAGTTAGTAATTAGTGTCAGGAGTCTAGTCCTTTGTTTGGTACAGACTGAATTCTGTTAGTCAAATTTGTAATGCGGCTACCATACCACTAGCTGGCTAGCCATCACAATACACTCTGAATTCTTATTGTTATTAAATGGTTGGAGGCAATCCGCAGGAAGCCTTGTTTTACACAGATTTCGTGCTTATCGGCACACACACACGCTAGTCAGCAATTACCTTGAAGGAAGTCATGTCCCTTCTGAGATTCCAATCAGTGTCACCCAGTGCTGCAATCATAGACGTTATCCAAACACCGAATAAATAACTAAACGCATGACACTACTTAGTGGCCAATCAAAGTACTCATTACTGTCTGAAAGGAGGTCACTCGAAAGCCTGAAAAACTCAGTGGTAACATCTCTCACTACAGCACTAAATGACACGGGTTCGAATCTCAGAAGCGAGATGAGTTCCTTTTCTTCAAGGTAATTGCTGACTGGTGAGTGCCAACATCAAGCACGAAACCTGAGTGGTCGTCCAAGGCTTCCTACAGCCGGCAAAGATCAACAATAGCGTCCCAGGAGTGCGAACGAACGAGTGACCACCTTCAGCTAACCAATCATAAAAATGAGGAATGTTGGCTCAAAAAAAATGATGTATATTGACAAGGAAACGCTTGAAAACGCATTAAACAAACAGGTTATCTTTCTCTGACATGGCTTAAAAATACGTTCTAGTTATAACGAGGAGTATCAGTTGGTAAGTTAGACTAGTTTCTGTACATGTATTTATCGAAATGACTACAGACAAACTGTTTTTGTGAATCGTTTATCTCTCTCTCTCATCCTGCTTGCAGTCTGACAAAAAAGCCCTCGGTTGAACTGTTATGGTTTCCAGTAAGAGGATAGATGACTACTTACCAGGAAAACGTGGATAATAAAACAAATTAAAATAAATGACATCAACTATAAATCTATCCCTAGTCGTAACCATAAGCTTAATCCTGACCCTAACACTAAACCTAACCTTAATCCAAACCGTAAACCTAACCCTAATGCTAATTATAACCCTGATCCTAACCCTAACCCCAATACTTACCTTAGCCCTAATTCTAACCCTAACGAGCTATTAACACATTGTCCAAACAGTACTTAAAAACGTGATCTGGGTGAAATTTCCTTTTAAGCTGGTGAATAGCGTTGATATTTCAGCTATGATAATGACAGATGCTGTTAGCCAACGAACGACTAGCATGTGTTCAAGGTCATTGGAGCGTTCACACTCCTGGGACGCTATTGTTGAAATTTGCCCTACGGCCAGTTGCCACCATGCATCTAAGAGCATAGGATTGTTGAACAGTACACAAGAATAAAATGCTTCTTGAAATCCTTATAAGGATGAATCCACGACCATCACCCTCCCCCCCCCCGCCGTCATCCAGTTGATTGACAAACGAGCATCTAGACCAGTGAGGCACACATTTCTCCTTCGTAAAATTTAACTCAAAAACAATTTATTTGATTTATTCCATTAAGCGTATTTCACATGAACACAAACTATATCACACACTATGTTGTATTAGAGAATTATGCTTAGGGCATTTTAAAATACACAAGCACACATACATACAAACATATTAAACACGATAAACAATGATGTGAGATAAACATTTTTCAAATATGACATGAAAAGTGCATATGATGTAAAAAGGATATGAAGCAGGTGAAATCTTGATAGCCACTACAATATCTTCATATTTTTTGTATACTGCTCCGAGGTACAATCGAATCATCGTGACCATCCATAGCAGATATTGCAAAAATAGAGAAAAAAAACAACAGACAAATCAGAAATAAAATCAACATCTAACACAATCAATGAATGTGATGAATAAACAAAATTATCGTTAAAGAAAAAATAAAGGTGAAAAAAATATCAACAAAACATCAACAAAACACGTCACAGAACATCATCGTTCACAAATAATCGATATTGTTGAATTACAGTCAAGAAAATAGCAGCTATTTTTTCTTTATCATGTTGAATTTATGGATCGAATGTTTAAATTTCACACGTTTGTTGCATAATTATGACGATGATGATACAATTTCGCATGTGAATGTTCACTAGGAATTTCATACAGTTGGCAATGAGCCAAACCTATTGTGAGTGTGTGAGAGAGGTGTCCAAACCTCGTATGCTGAGAGGAGTGTGAAACCGTTACCCAATCAGACACAGCTCTAGCTGTTACATAGACGACGTAGTGTAAAATACGTCAGAGCGAAATTCCCTTACATATAGTGCAACCGAACACCACATCTGCGATTACTACCTTCTTTTAAACAATCATAAAATGTTGAACAGGTGTCTTATTTTCCCTGTCTTATTCCCTTGCCTTGCCAGTGAAACATAGGGCTTCAAGCATCAGCTTTGAAAATTCACTAGCAGTGATTTCATTTTCAAGGGGTGAGGGGGTTTCGCTAGCCTCACTCATCCTTTGTCGAGCATACCACTGGCTAGGTGAGGTGGGCCGTTATTAAACTTTTCGGTTCCGAGTGGAACATAGGACTTCAACAACACGTCTCCGCTTTCTTCTATTTTCTGCTATCCCCTTCAGCTAGCTAGCCCCACGATTGCACAAACTCTCTCATCTCCTCGTCCCCAAACGATATCCTCTATGTCACCCTTCCTCCTACGACCCAGTCGTCGCATTCCAACTGGATTGCACTCGAGCGATGGCCTGCAATGCACGAGATGTCATTCGACAGCCTCCTCAACATATGCCCTATAGTCCATCTCCATTTTCTCCTACATATTTGTTGTGCAATCAACTCTTTATTGGTTTGTTCCCAGACAAAGTTTGTTACTTATTCTTTCTGGCCATTTGATCTTCATTATGCAGCCAGCGAAAATGGCAACTGTTGATAAAAGTCTGAAGCTTGTTGGAAATCGTTTTCGTGACACAGCAGTGCAAGTTTCTGACCCGTATGGAAGAAACCGACTTCACATTTGTGTTGAAAATCCGAATCTTGTTCTTCATGCTGGCTGAGTGAACAGAAGATTTCCAAACTGGTTTCAGGTTGATGAAGGCGTATCTTGCCTTTCCGATTCTGACTTCAACATCTTCATCCGTTCCGTATGCTTGTAGTTGCGACCATGCTTCCTGGATAAGTGAAGGAGGTAACCTCTGTTTAATCTCTCCCGTTGATGGTAATTGATGCTGGTTGTTGTTGGTGGTGATGCGGTTCGTTGGTTGGTTGGTTATATTCATCACCTCCGTCACCAACAGTGTCTAGCTAACTTGTTTTTTTTATTTTTCGACTGAGAGATGAAAATTATTGTAATTACAGACAAATTGACTGCATGATATTGATACTAAACTTCTAAACAATGAAATGTATTCAACCAACGAGCATGGCCTGTTACGAAAAGCATGAACATGCATATGCTTTTGAGAGTAACATATATTTTGAGTAGTTTTGACGAACTTCTAAGCTGCATAAACCTTGAAAAGACATTATTATCGCATTTTCGATAATCAGTATTCACCAGGAACATTTGCGTCGGTCGCATAGCGGTTAGGACGCTCGCTGACCATGCACATGGTCCGGGGTTCGATCCCCGGCCAACGCACCCCTTTACCTCACTAAGCCAGATATAATGCTAGTGAAGAGGAAAGGTTGGGCATGAGGCTAGCAATCCATCCTGTAAAAATAAACACCACTGCTACAGAAACTTCAAGCCACATGCTTGAAGCCCTATGTTCCACTGGGAACGTGAAGAAAAAAAACCAGGAATATTTCGCTGTCACATAGCTGAGTTGAAGTCAAGATATGAAAGTACAGTACAACCTTCTGTGTGTGTCTGGGTGGATGGGTATGCAGCTAGTCAGCATTGTTGAGATAAGATGTAGAGTGTTATGAAATGAGGGAAAGTCAGTCAAGTTGTGAAATTACAGTGATTGAGAGCTATCGCCTTCCAAAACAAGCTGACCTAGAACTAGGTTGTAAAAACGTTACAGCTGGTAAAACCGAAATCTGGCTCCAATCCATGGAGTCTTTTACTACAGATTTGAACCATGTGTGCCTGGTTGAGGTCGCTAGGATTCTGAGAACAAATGGCCACAAGCTGTTGGTGATATAGGGGAGTAGAAAGCGTTTTCAACGGCGTAGACACATTCAGCCTTTGTAGTTGCAGTACTGAAAAACGCTAATACAGTGAAATTCCCTCACAGTTACATATAGACATTAACATTCAGTGACGAGAGGGAGTTGGTCGTCAGTGAAGGTGACTTGGAGAGATCATGTGAAGAGGAGATGAAAACGTGTGGGCAGACATGGAGCCAGGTGAAGACTATAGCAGAGAACCGAACGCAATGGAGACGCCCGGCTGAAGCCCTATGTTCCTCTAGGAATTAAAGGATACAATAATAATAATATACATTAGAGATCAGTTCTACATAGAGATGAGATGTGCTCATCGCTTCATGCATTTAAAATCTTTAATTCATCCAGTGAAATTAATTTTTTTTTCCCGAAAAAAAACAACAGACAAATAAATAAATAAATGCTCCACAAATAAAACCAATTAGAAAACGATCATTTACAACAGATAGGCAATTTCACACAACCTATCTTGCTTTATGCAACACTCTGTATCCAACCTTAAAGAAATACAATTTCCCCATGTCAATCGCATTAGAAACTATATCTTTAAGTCGTGATACGAAAGGACTAAGGTCTAGTGCATTAAACCATCAAATCAAATACGATGCAATTTGAAGAATTTTGATGCGGTTGTGTTCTCTGAGCTGGATAGTGAATTTGTGAAGCTTTCATCGCCCTACTAGGCGACATCTTCAGCGCATACTTCAATTTGAAGTCGCCTAGTAGGGCGATGAAAGCTTCACAAATCAACTATCCAGCTCAGAGAACACAACCACATCAAAATCATCCACCTGAGCTACACAGGACAATCCACTAGGGTGACCAGAGACAACTATGGATAAGTGAAGTTGGTTAGTGTGCTTTCGACAACTGTATTCTCCTACACTTAAACAACAAGAAATCAATGTTTGCATCCGTCTACCGACTACCGTTATCTACTACTTTCACTTCTTACAGGATTAGAAATGAAGATCAGAAAAATAGATGATATACATCTGACTTAAACATCGCACAGTCTACTAGTTCGCTAGTTTTCTAGTCAGTCCCGAGCCCCAAAAAAGAACGAAGGTTGGGCACAAGAGTAATGACCCTAACCCAGAAAACCAATCCAGTCGTTACAGAAACTTCAAAGTACAACAAAAATATATAGAGAGAGAGAAGAAAACCTCCAGGAAACCAGTCAGCCGATGTGTCTTCTTTCGATGAAAGAGAGAAAATAAGAACGGGTGTATGTGGAATGTTCGTTCAATGTATGCAGCTGGAAAGGTTGCCCAGCTTGCCGAAGAAATATCAATATTTGGTATAGGAGATGAGTGGGATACATTCTGAGAAGACTGTTGAGTGACACCGGTCGAGTGGAACTCGAGTGGAAAACAATGAGTAGCCCATCCAACGGTGAAATGCAGGAGACCGTGTTAGGAGGGGGTCAGCTGAAGAGCACTCAAGAGAACAGGGTTAAAAATGCAGACGTACTGTTGCAGCCCTATGTTCTAATTGGAACCCAAGAGAATAATAAATTATAATAATAATACTAATAATCTGATTTTACCCAACACTTGCGTTCAACGAAAATACTATTAACAATCTATTGTTTTTATATATCACATGCTTCAGTGTGTGAATAATATAGATCGAATAATCCTCTAAGGCTATTGTTTAAATTCGTTAAATATTCAACTTTAATTATCGCTTGCTAACCTTTGTTCTTCACCTTAATTGAACAGAAACCTGAATCTGATCAATACTAACATAAGCACATGCTTGTGAAGATATATATGCATATATGTATGTGTTAGAGCAGCAAAGGATGAGTATTTAACGAGGACAAACAATTACAATTCTCTTGTTCAGTTAATTTTCTACAATATAGACAGGAGTGTAACAGAATCGATTTTATATTCAAGTATTGGTTTGTATGGATTTAGGTGATTGGTCGCAGGATTTCATCAGGAGTTGACATTGGTCAGATAACCATTGGAAAACCTGGGAGTACTGGAAAGCTGTTTCGTCCTAGTTTGGAACTCGTCATCAGCACGCACCCAACCCATTGGAGTTCGAACCCAGGACCTTTCGGTTACAAGGCGAGCTCGTATACCATTAAGCCACTGGGACCTGGTCCAATGGCCCATGAATTCTAACTTCTGCCAATTCATGATATGGCGCAACCACTAGCCAATGTCATCCGTGGTGAGTATTTGCCGAAACAGCTGTCCAGTACTCCATGCAAGTTTTCCAATGATTCTCTAACCAATGTCAGCTCCTGATGAAATCCTGTGACCAATCAACCAAATCCCTACAAACCAATACTTGAATATCAATGAGATGCTCACTGGCGACTTGCCCTATTCAGGGGTTCCAGTGGGAAGTCGTGACCAATAGGGTGCAGCAGGTCTGGTGTGAGGACAAATACTCGCCGGAGGCATTGGCTAGCGGTCGCGCTATCTCGTGAATTGGCAGAATCGATTTTATTTCAATCTCATAATTAAACCATTCAGCTAGCTATAGGAGCTAAGCAGTTGCTGTTAAATCACTCAGTGTATAGTCTCATGTAGTGATTCATGATGTATATCCCTTGTCTGAGTGAATTTCCGCACTTACTGTCTTCACAGATGGATATTAGGTTCCACTCACCAAAAGCATATAACAAGAGCAGGATACCACAAATGCTGTTATGGCAGGCTGTAGGCGACATCTGGTCTCCCCCTCGAAATAGCTACCATAGGGATACATGAAAATGTTGTCTGGTGTTGAGCCCTGTTTCGCTGCCTTCATATGATGGGAAGGTATTTTAACTCCGGGGATAAAAGAACCGACAACAGTGTATTCAAGCTCCATGAACTGATCCGAAAGGATTTTCAAGAGTTTGTTTGTAGGGATTTGAATTTTTTTTTCTAAATTTGATCACGAGCAGATATCAGCTAGAGAATCCTTGGAAAACAAGTACACAGAACCAGACAGCTGTTTCATCCTAGGTCGAGACTCTTCATCAGCAGGTGCCCACCAGAGTTCAAACTCAGGACCTCATCGATTGCGTCGCAGTGGCTGAATAGTGGTCTATGAGCTCACCTTATAACCGGAAGGTCATGGGTTCAAACTGTGGTAGATTTGTACTGATGAAGAGTCCTAAAAGAGGACGAAACAGCCAGCTACCCAGTACTCTAATCCAAGTGATATCAGCTCGCTATCAAACTTGAGGCGAATCAAATCCTTCAAAAAAGTAACTCTTGAAATGACGTAATCATTAAAATTTACTACTCAGAGAATTAGTCGACACTAATTTCATTTGGCAGGCATAAAGTGAGTGTGGAGGCGTATTCACATAAAAACAATCCATCGCATAGTCTAGTATAATCACTGATGATCAGATCACAGTTCACTTTGATCAATTAACAAAACATAAAATAAAGAATGTGGTAAATAAAAAACACACACACAAATCAACAATATACGCATATATGTCTGCATAACTTACATAAAACCAAATTGACTACAGAAAATACCAAAATATAAAGGCAATAAATACTCAATGAATATATGAATAGTACAAAAAAACGATAATTCCTTTGGCCAACACAATTTCCAATCCATGGACAATGATGATCGAAACGTTCTATAAGTAGTGAAATGAAAAATGAAAAAACAAAACAGAAAAAATGAGGTGAGGTGAGGGGAGGGAAGAAAATGAGAAGAAGGAGATTCACATCAATCATTCTGCATTACTGCTAGAAATAATAAGAATGACTTTTTAAAAAAAAAACATCATCAACTGAAAATTCAAACAGATCTGTAGCTTAGTGAATTACACACACACACACAAATTATAACTGGAAGAATTTGAAATTCGCTCCTATCTGCTCATTGAGGATTGAGCAGTTATGTGGTATTAACAACCTCTATACGCAGTAAATATGACTCGTTGCCAAATTTTTTTATTTTATTTTTATTTTTTCTGTTTCAGCTTGATGCCACACTGTATTTTCGGTACAAGTATGGAATTTTCAGCATGGATATCGGTAGCCCAAATTTTGCAGGCCGAGCATAGATATCGGGTGTGCGTCGGCAGGGGATCGAACCCCGGACCATGTGCATAGTCGGCGAGAGTCCTAACCACTGTGCCACCGACACACATGTAATGCATGTAAAAGCAACTGGATGTTGAGTTAAGCTCTGCATTTCATTCAAATTTCAACTGAATCTGAGTATTAACCACTACATGGGAATATAAGCGTTTTGCATGGATGTATGAATAACTACACAATACCGAGTCAATATAATATGAGAATAAAAAAGGCGGATAAATTAACAGAACATCACCCTGCACAGTGGTTGGTTAAGCAAAGGACAAACAGAATCTATTCGAAGCGCTATTCTATCTCATCTTGTGGATACAGAACACAAGATCGATGTTAACCAGGCTTTCAGGGTAATTTACCGCATACCTATGAATCTAAATTTTGCCTTAAGAGTTCAACTACTAAATATTACTGAGGCTGTCCGTTGGGATCCATATTAGCAAGCCTAATTTCTGCATCCAAAAGAAGTTAGTTCAGACATTATCACTACCTTGGCCATCTAGGTTGGAATGATCCTGAATTTTTGTGAAATTTTCCTAATTTTAATTGATATTCTATTCACTAATATATCTTTATTATTATTATTATTATTATTATTATTATTTAGGCATCTTTAATGAACTATAATTGCGTTGATCTTACTTAACAATCGATATTATTTTTTTTTAAAAACACCAATATTGTTATTGACTACTAATCTAGAATATTCTATGTATATAACCATATACATAATTGTAGAGCCAGAAGAGGAATTTATCGAAAAGGATATTCTTTGCTGAATTATTTTATGTTTTATAGATGTCAGAATGAATATTTTCGTTATTATTTCACTTATATATGGTAACCGATGTAGAATCTACAAATAAACCAATCAGAATTGACCTACGTAAGTGATCGATGTCCAGTTTAGGAATAAACCAATCAGAATTGGCCTAAGTAAAATGACGCCCACAACTTTGAATAAAACAAGAACAACACAGTTTGTGCAGAGAAAGATGGCACACATCATTTATTTCACTGGCCTCTCATCAGCTGCATACAACCTAAAGAAACTAATTAAGTTTGTGTACACAGAAACGATTTTAACATACTTGCAGTTTTCGCATGATGTTGTCACTTGACAGAAAGCTCAAGTTTACACAAACATTAAAATCAATGTATGCATACAATGGTACAGGAGTTACGTAATAAAGACAAGAGGTGAGCACAATGATGAGTAGCTAGTAATTTGAGTGACAATATATTGAGTTCAACTCAAATCATAGAAGCAAGAGACAAGCGAAGCTACTGTATAACGAAGGGGGGACAAGTTAAAGATTTAAGATTACGTAATCAAATGAAACAGAGAATAAAGATACCCAGTTACCAGGGCAAGGAAAAATTGGTAACTGCTTCTTTCGAAACACATAAATCGGGTCTCAGGCGTTTGATAGCGATTGCTTCGGCAAACTTGAGGAGAATTGAGCCTTTTTATCTATTGGTAATTTTAAAGGATTTTGCAATGTCCACCTCAAGACCCGTAACAAGGAGATGCTTGGCAATGGCACTATTGGAAGCGTTTTTTCCCTTGAGTCATAGGCTTTTCGGTACATGTCCAAGAATTCGGAGGTATACCCTTCTTTCTATTCCCTCAATGTAACTGCTCCCGCAGATGATACATGTAAATTTGTATACATAGGTAGAGCTAACATACGATTACACCAAAGAGCATGTTTTCCAACAAATGGGAACCAACCTAGCTGCAGGATACGTCCTGGCTAGTGACGCATTCAATCTTCTGTTGACTACGTCTGCGATATTATCACCTATAAAATCGAATTGAATGAAGACAGGCTTTTTTCTCACTGTAATTTGTTTGATATTACAGCCTTCACGTCTACCATACTTGTTTTTGAATTTCTGATGGTCACTGTTGTTTTCAACATCTTTCGAGAATCATAAATTCTTCCTCTAATTTGTATTCTCCTGACTTTATAGGAATCTATAGAAGTGGATGACACGGGGTAGTTTCTTAAAGATTGCAGATACGTCGTCTTGACGAGTGCCAATAAGCCTGAAACCAATGTCACTTGCCTCCAACTGTCTGATATAAATTCAAAAAGTGTACCGCGATGGCGAAACTCCTTAGATCAGTAAGTACGACAAATAACACCGATTACTGCCTAGTGACCAATCAATATCAGAATACGGTCTGTTTGCTTTGAGCACACGCTTGTAGTAAAAATAAACAGTGTTTTACAGAATCAAAGCGTATTATCAGTTAGGTGTTGGGGGCAATCACCAAGGAGACAAAGACTACATTTAAGAACTTCTTAGAAACCTCAATAGGAATGAATTTTTCGTCAAGGCTTCAGATTTATCTTGTAGTCGAATTAGTTATAGGTGAAGTATTTTTTTAAGTTTTATTATAGCTTGATTCCACACAGTATTTTCGTACAAGTATGAAATTTTCAGCATGTGATATCGGTAGCCCAAATTTTGCAGGCCAACCATAGATATCAGGTGTGCGTCGGCCGGGTATCGAACCTCAGACCATGTGCATGATCGGCGAGAGTCCTAACTGCTGTGCCACCGACCATAAGTAACCTAAATTAACACTAGAAACCTTTCTAGAAAATGTCAATAAACATAAAATCGAACTGTGGAATTATCCACTAAGAACCAGCTAACATTGATTAAAGCTAAAGATAGTGTAAAGTCTTTTAAATGGATAACAGAACCTGGTAGGTACTTAGCACTAGACATACAATGGAGCTGGTGACTGTTCACACACAACACAATCCATCTGCATACTGTCCTATGTCCTATACTGATATGTACCTACAAACAGCTCAAAGCGCTACGCTATACAGTATAAGTGTGTACCTGAATATTCAGAGGCGATATTCTTGTGAAAGAAAGAATTCCAAAAAGTGAGGGCATAACAGCCAAAAACCGTAATATATAACAGTGGAACAACTCAAACATGTATACACTTTTATTTCAAGTTAACATCCTATTCACTACTATAGTGATGAGAGCTGTCTACTAGCCAATTGGTTGACAGTAATTGAGGTCAATGTTTATGTGTCAAATATTAGTCATGTTGTGGTGAGAGATGGTTGCTAGCCAAATTGGTTGACAGTAATTGAGGTCAATGTTAGTCATGTGAAAACAAGGTCAAAGATGGACAGGCGGATACAGTTAGCATATGGATGATCTGACACAGCCACAAGAGATGCAAGGTTAACTTTGTGTGAGAAACAACCAATCAACAGACTGTATTTTCTACTAACATTAACCTACAACAATGTACATCAAAATCTATAAATACGTGTTGATTTTCCGTAATAAACGTTCTGTTGCCTGGCTCTTGTCTTCTGTTGTTACACTATCATTATCTGACATCTTATCATTTGATACTACATTCACGACGGGTACAAAAGGCTCGTGGTGTACTCGCCAATTGATGTCACCTATGGCGTAGACGTGATATCCAGATATCGACTAAAGGACGTGTCAACTGCACAGCAGTTCGCTCTGTAGTTTAAACTAGAACCTAGTACAAGTTCATACAGCCTTTTAAAGTTAGTTTAAGTTAGGCACGTAGGGGAATGAACACTGCCTGATCCGAGTTCTCGAGATTATAAGAATCAATGTCTGAACACAATACAAACCAGTTGCTCAGGTTAAAGTAGGTGAAACGCAATATAAAAAATAGAACTTCGGCACTGCGGTAAAGTATTATTGCAGCAGGGAGTAAATTTATTTGAAAGAGTATCACCGTTATACAGTATTATTTACTGATGACGTTTCGAGCACAATCCGCTTTCTGTGAAAGGAGGCTTAGTTAAGTGTCTAACAAACAGCACTCAGCATGAAAAATAAGATCCGGATTTTCAACTCCAATGTGAAGTCAGTGCTAATATACGGATCAGAGACTTGCACTGCGCGTCATAAAGAGCATCCCAAACAAACTACAGATCTTCATTAACAGTTGTCTTCGCTCAATACTCAAGATCAGATGGCCGGCCAGAAAAGATCAGCAACAGAGATCTCTGGCAATGAGCGAACCAACGAACCAGGAACCGATTGTGAAACAAAAAGGCAGGAAGAAATGGAGATGGATTGGCCATATTCTGAGGAAACCATCAAGTGACATTACTAGACAAGCCATTGCTCGAGTGGAACCCGAATGAGAAGCGGCGAGTTGGTCGTCAGTGCAAGGGTGACTTGGAGGAGATCATGTGAAGAGGAGATGAAAACGTGTGGGCAGACTTGGAGCCAGGTGAAGACTCTAGCAGAGAACCGAACGCAATGGAGACTCACGGCTGAAGCCCTATGTTCCTCTAGGAATTAAAGGAAATAATAATAACAAACTGAACAATAACTCTAAATAGTACATCAAAAGACCTAAATCATGAAATGTAAAACAGACAGAAGAATAGTCGGTGTCGAATATCCCTCCTATAAAATTCACTAAGACGATCACAAAGACTCACAAGGGAAAGAAGAAATAGTGGTGGTGAAACTATCAACGATAACATAAATAAGAAAG